AGACCTCAAGTTTTCTTTAGCTCCTCAACTTTGACCAATGTCTTGTCTTTCATTTCCTGTAGCTTACCTTTTTTGTTTTCATTACTATCCAGATTTTTAGCTTCATATTTTTGTTTAGTTGGTCTGTGATAGATAGCAATAGTGTTCAAAATATTTACTGCACCATTCTGGGGCAGAATTATACTCTTCCTCTTACTGATGTCAGAATTGGTCATACGACTTTCTTTGGCCAATCAAATGTAACCAGAAGTCACATGTGCAACTTGTGAGCAGAAGCTTTCAGAGGCATTTTGTGGCTTCCCAGTATTTACTGTCTCCTTGTCTCAGGGGGGCTGTCAATATTCTGTACAAGGGCTGTCCCATCAGTCTGGCTCCTGAAGTGGAGACAAAGTGTGGCATTGCCGCAGCTGACCCAGCCTGAACAAAAAATAAACTTCAGTTGTCATAAGCTACTGAAGTGCAGGGAATTTTTTTCCTGCTGAAAAAACTTAACCTATCCTGATTAATAATGGGCCCATCTATTTCCAGGTAGATTTTGGAAACATTTCATTTCTTTTTGAAGCAAAATCCTCAACACTATTTGCCTTGGCTGAAGGGTCAGTGATTCTAAGACTTGTATATGAAACTATGATAGTTTCCTTGGTACTGTGGGCTATCATCCTAGTTCAGGAAGAATTTACTGGGTCAATAATAACAAAAGCTGTCATTTACTTGGGGAATGAATACCACACATGGAGATCTGGGATTTATACAGTCCTCACATGAGCCCTGAAAAATGTATAACATCATCACCATTTTCCAGGTGAGATGATTGTTACCCAAAGAGATCAAATAGCTTACTCAAGGTGATGGAGGTGGTGAGTGGCAAAGCAGACCCAGCCTCAAGCCCGCCTGGCCCCTCTCCCCGTGCCGCACTGTAGGGGGAGAGGGAGACCATCCGAGCGCCACGGTTGGGTGCTTGTGCTGCGTCTTGCAGTCGTGTCGACTCTTTGCAACCATGGACTGTAGCCCGCCCGGCTCCTCCGTCCGTGAAATTCTTCAGGCGGGAATGCTGGAGTGGGCTGCCATTTCCTTCCCCAGGGGGTCTTTCCAACCTAGGGATTGAACCTGTGTCTCCTATGTCTCCTGCGTGGCAGGCAGATGCTTCACCTGCCGAGCCACTGGGGAAGCCAAGAGCCAAAGATATCAAGATACCAAGATTAGGTATTTTCAGATAAATCAGCAATGCAATTCCTTATTTCAGGGAATCCAAGATTCTCAATTTCCTTTCTGAGCATTGTCAGTTGAAATGGAACCTTTAGAAAGGGAAATTGATAACAGGAGAGAAATGGCTCTAAAGTGCCCTGTTGGACTCTGTGGTTTAATTATAATAATGCAGATCAGTTATGTGAGCACTGCCTCTGATGTGATAGTCTTGGGTCCCAGGGCAAGGGGAGGTCTCCATAAAACAATCACAATTCTGAAGCAAAATACCACCACCAAGGATTGGGGATGGAGAATTTATTTTGTGTAAATAGCTTCCTGGAAAGTATTTTATTAAAAAGTGTTCAGAATTAATTTTTAAAATGTTTAAATTTAGTGAAAGCAAACATTTACTATATTTCATGTATAATTTTTTTAACTTACTGAAAAATATCAAGTAAAAATGTTAATTCATACAAATATAAATGACAAGTATATGCTGCCATTCTAATATAAATACCATCTGCTCCTGACTTAACTTTCCTTTCAGTACCCATCCCCACTCCACCCTGCATTCCCCTTGGAGCTGCCACCTTTGGGGTCACTGGCTCAGCAGGACATCATCCTTCCACCACGTTTGGCTTTCTTGAATTGGAGCTCTCAGGCATTGTGTTTCAACGTGGCCAGTAATTTCAGTTGTAGAAGTATGAATTTTCTCCTGCCGACCAGGATGAATGAGCCCCCTTGGGATTTACCCTGCCCTGTCCCTAATAGGGAGCTCTGGCTCCTCCCACCAAGTCCAGTTAAGCCATTGGCAATTTGGATGGGAAGATGTGAACAGTAGAGTTTAAAAAGCTGCATGGTACAGAGGGGCTAGGAGGACGTGCGGTGAGGGTATCAGTGATGGAGTGAGAGAGGTAGGGGGCAAGTGGTGTTGGAGAGAGAGCCCAGTTAACTGATGACCAAAATAACGTTATTACACCAAGAAAAATGTCAGTGTTTCTGAACATAAAATAGCATCTTACATGAAACATCAGAAAACTGAAAGCCAGTACTGCAGTTACTGGATAGATTCCTCATGATTATTATTTTAAAATGGCCTATACAGTATTTTACACAGAGCAATGTTATTAAGACCTAGTCCAGTCATGGCTCCCATTTTCTCTGCTTTCAGTCCTGATCCAGACTCCAGCATATTCTGGGATGGGGAGGGAGACCGGCTAGGAGAGAGGTGAGGAGGGAGGTGTTGCTAAAGATGTGGCTCCAGAGAGCCAAGCCAGAAGTGAGAGCAGCTGAGCTGGCCGTTATAATATGCAGGTTTTCCTAAGTGCTATGTCTGGCAGCCGTCTTGTGCCAGCACAGAAGTAAAATCCTGTTGAAGAAGGGAGCAGGGAGCTTTTATGATGCCCAAAGATTTCCTCCAAACAGATGTTTTTGTTCCATGGCAGCCTATTCCTGAAGGAGAGAGCAGAGAGATAGACTTGCTATCATTTAGCATGACACTGTCCCCATGGTGAAACTGGTCAGCCAGAATTGGTAATGTGTTGAGGTGGTCCCCTAGTTTGGTTAGCTTCCTGGAAATGGAAAGCAGGTTTCCCTTTAATTATTGTGCTTTCCAGGGCCCCAGGCTTCAGCCTTACCCAGCACAAAATAATTTGGGTCCAGGCTCCAAAGAGGACTCCAACAGAGAGTGTAAAGACTCCAGTGTCTGAAATTGATATGTTTCTTTTCCCATCACCTCTCTTCCCACACATGCCTATGACATGAATTTGAAATGCCCTGTTCATATGAAGACTGCATGCTGTTTCAAGCCACCCCAACAAGGGGTGAAGCACATTTAAGTCATCCCTTTGAGTGCCAAAGACAGAGCTACGCTAAGCCATGCTGCAATTAGCTTTGTGTGTTTTTTGTCACTACCACAGTCTGCCATAGATGGAACCAAGGTAAAACGCCATTCCAGCTGACTCTGACTCTGTGTGAGAATGTGAATTTAGGCACTTATTTAAAACATAACCACAGGCCAGCGTGCCTTTATTGAAGCACATGGATATCATTACTGCTTTTGTGTTTGGGTTGGAAGGAAATACAGCAGTTAACCACCTGAAATCTCAGTAGACAAAAGGAGAAAACCATAAAGTTTTACAACTTCGAGACAAAAGATTGCAAAATGTAAGTTCCATTTAAAAATTTAGGAAATTATGTTATCTTACATACCTGAGTAGTTTGTTGTTTTTTTTTTTAACAGAGAGATTAGTAGAGCTTGGTTATTACCTGTGCTTAAAAGATTTCATTTCCATGAAGAAATGGAATAAGAACTGGGAAAAAATCAGACAAGGCAAATAGAATTTCTCATAAGCTTTCAGAATGCAAAAACAATGAACTCATATTACTGTGGTGAATTTGTGTTGCTAGTCTTTTGCCTGCAGGATGATGACCACCATTAAGATCTCTATCCAACAGTTTCCTTTTTGATGAGGTGCTCCGCCAGACTCATTTTTATGGAGCAAGTCCCAGTTCAAGTCCTGAAAGATGAAAACAGCCTAACCTTTAGTTCTAAATTTAGTTTTTCTGGGAAGCAAGTTGAGATCCAGAAGTCTTGAATGAAACTGAATGCTTTGGGAGGGACAGCTTGGGTTGGCTTAAATTAAAACTTGTCTCCTGAGGGCTGTAGACACCACAAATAAAGCTTTCTCTACTGTGTTCTGCTACTGTATTCAATGCACTGAGTAACTCTTAATGTTCCTAGGGTTTCCTAAATGGCCTGGAAATAAAACTAACAGAAGAGAGCAATACATTTCACTTAACTAACTTTAACAAAGTTATTTCTTTTCAAATAGCTCATGAAAGACCTCAGTCAGAATTTTGGTGGCAATAGAAATACTTGAATCTATCGACTGCCTTTTAAGTCTCCAGACTTTAAGTACATTAAGAATGAAACACCTCCCTAGATGCTATAACCTTTATAGGTCTTTATTTCTTATATTAAAAAAAAAAACCCAAACAAAAAACCATAAAGTCACCACTCTCACAACAATTGGAGGAAAACTCAGTAGAAAGTCACCATTTTGTTAATGAGAAATACCTGATGTGTCATATATTTTGCTTAATAAAGACTGAGTTGACTGTACATTAAGCCAATTTAAGAATGTGATCTGTAACTCACAGTCTTAATTACATGGAGAAAAAGTGAATGGGTTCATTAATGCTGTGAAAAGGAACAATGACCTACCTGCCAAGTGGCAAGGTGGAAATAATTAATCTGGTCAATTAAAAAGAAACAGATAATTTAAAATGCAAAGACTTCCAGGTGATGCACTGCATTCTGCTATCTGGAATTGCAAATTCTTACTGCCTATTCTGATCTTCTCAATAAATGTTGTTCATCTTTTTCTTTTCTTTTCGTTGTTTCTTTTTGCCATGGCTCAAATCTAATAGAAAAAAAAGATCTTTCTGAGCTATTAATCACCACCTATTTCTTTATGTCTTGTGTTCTAAAATATTTATTTACTCTAGCATGTAGTCTAGAATTCCTTTCCTTTCTTTTTGGGAGTCTGTTATATTTTACTTTCCCTTCAATTTTTTTTCCTGCCCCCCTGGAGTTTTAATAATATTTTTTAAAGTTCTGGAGCCTGAGCCACGCTCTGGGTTATCTAATTCCATTTACGATTCTATAACGTTGAAGCTTGCCGCGGTCTGGCTGTCAGCAACAGGTTCTAAATATTGAATACATAGGGTAGTGTATTTGCTCCACGGGACCGGAAATTAGTCAAACAGTTGTTTTTCTACAAATGTCCATAATTCCTCTTGACATTTACAAGCAAGTAGTAGTTCTTCGTCGTACAGTGATCTCAAAACAACATAGGTTGCGGCAAGGATGCAGGATGCTGAGGCCGCTCAGCACCGTCGCGGAAAACCTGAGCTTTGTCATCGGCGCGCCCTGCCTAACCGTGAGCTGCCGAGACGCGGAAAAAGGAACCTGTTCGTCGCTTAATCCTTTCCAGCTGTTCCAGACTTAGTCCCAGGACAAATATTACCATCATGTTCATTTTAACTACGGCAACGCTTTATAAAAGCAGCATCCCGAGTTTTTTTTTTTTTTAATCTGCTCCAGGGAAGGCTGTTTTTATGGGGGTGTCTGGCTGTAAATTTCTGGTTGCTAAGGAGGAGGAGAAAAAAATCTCATCTGAAAAAACAAATGCTGCCATGGTGAAGTGCGACTTGAAAGTCTCTATTGCCTAGGTGTTAGACTTGGCAAATTAGAAATAGCTGGGGAGGCGAAAGACGCTTTTCCTTGATGTGCTCCAACAAAGTAGTACATATTGTCAGCTCCGCGGGAGGCGCGCGGCGGCCATATGTGCGTCGCCCAGCGAAATGGAATAAACAGCTGCTGCCAGGAATCCAGTTCCTGGCAAAGAGGCAAACCCACGTCCTCATGTTTGCAAAATAAAAATCACCAGAGGGATTCCCCTTCCTGCAGTTCCAGCCAGTAATTTTATAAAAGCATAAAACATCGCTGTATTGTGGTTTATAATAATCCCTTACATTTGTAGAGCATTTTACAGTTTACAAAGCGCTTTACATACATTATCTCATTTGAGCCTCATAACGGCCTTGGAAAGAACAAAGCACAGGTTCTGGGATTCGCTGTTCACCCCTGAAGAAAGGAGAGTTCAGAGAATGATGGTGAGCCGGTGCCTCGCCCGGAACCTGCTGCGGAAAGACTTCCTGGCGCTATGCAGGGGGACCCAGTGAAGGGATGCGGTTTTTGTGTAGTCCAAGTGCCAGTTGTACTGTTTCCCTTTGTGCAAACATCAGCTCCTTCTGCCAGAGGTCTTCTCTTGAACGTTTTGAAGCAGGAAGGAGGCATGTAGGTTGGAAGGGAGCAAGGGGAGAGGAGAAAAGGTCCTCTGTGCTTGCCCTGGATGTGGACTCTGGTTTGCCCTTGAAGGCAGTCAGAGCTGCTGTTTCATTTTCAGCATGTACTGCAGAGATCAGCAAGAGCCACTCTGAGCTTCAGAACTGCAGGGAAGAAAGAACTTGGATACCGTTCAATTAATCTCAGACACTGCCGCCTCTGTGCAACCCTTTGCAGGACAACAGGCCTTTCCCCGGGAATGGCCCTGCCTGTGCCTATTGCAAAAGCAGATTTATGGACAGGATCTACTAGAGCCTTTATCCAGGAATCCCCTCTGACCTTAGGAAGTGGGGGGACACTGATGCAGAAGACCCCTGCCCTGTGGGATAGCAGACATCCTGGGGATGTGGTGGTGGCCCATCATAGGTTGCGTTAGTTCTGAAATAGGGGCTCACTTTCTGGCAGACACTTGGACACTTCACGGACATGTGCCTAGTTTCTTGGTCAGGTCTCACTGGGCCTGGGATTTTGTGCTCTTTGGTTCTAGCTGTAGAGTTTTCCAATAGAATTAAGAGGTTAAAACATAGGTGCTGGGACCAAAATGCCAGGGCTGTATGCTTCCCAGCGATGTGAGCTTGAGCAAATTCACTTAAGCTTTCTCTGGTGTCAGAGGTATGCCTTACTGAATACAGATGAGGGTGTTCTGTTAATAAAACCTGCTTCATCAATTATTGTAAGAATTAAATGATTATCATTTGTAAAGCGCTTAGGGTAGTGCCTGGTGCAAAGTGAGGGCTCTACCAGGCTTTGTCAAATCCAGTGAGGCCGTACATTGGGCAGCAGAAGGCCAACCCCAGCAAGCCCTTTCTTGTTCCCTGATGGTGTCCCAGGTTTGGAGAGAGGTGACATCTGTCCTTCCTTGTCAGCTTTGACCCAGATGTACCTTCTCAGGATCACCGATGGAGATGCACAAACCAGGAGGCACTTTGCTTCACACAATTTGGCCCCTGATCTTTTCAGTCTGTAAAGCAATTGCTGTCTGTGGGAACATGACACATTTTGTTTGACTGTATTTACATTGTTGGCGTCAAAGCAAAAATTGCCCTGGATAAAGTTAAACATTCGAGGAAGACTATTCAAGGATATTGTGATGCTATGCCAGAACTCAGCCTGAAATTAGCTCCACTGAAACAAAAAGCACTGAGGGTGAAAGGAAGATCCTGGGCCATGATCATATCTTTACAATGAGAGGCAGTCTTACGTCTTGAGGTGAGGTGCCCACAGACGCTGGGCTCTTACTATCCCATCAGGACTGAAAGATGGTGGCGCTGTCTGCTTTAATGATTATATTTTAAGCTCCCGGGTCCTTGAGAAGTATATTCCTGGGTTGTCAAACTGTCAAGGGACTTTGAAAAAAAGATTTACATATACATTGAAGGGGTAGAAAAAGAACTTAAAAGTTTTATAAAGAAAATGCACTAGGAAAAGGGAAGTCAGGGACCAGAATCAGGAAGAAACCCATCCAGAATTTAATCAAGCTGAGGTAAATGTTAAGGCTATCTTGGGCATCTGTGTTTTAGAAACTAGATGGCAATTTGATGCAAAATGTTGCTTCCACAGAGTTCCTCTGGATGCTGAACAAAAACAGTGTGGTTTCTCTATTAGACCATGATAATGGCCCAGTATCTTTTGGTGGTGCTAGTGGTAAGGAATCTGCCTGCCAATGCAGGAGACATGGGTTCGATCCCTGGATTGGGAAGATCCCCCGGAGTAGACAGTGGCACCCCACTCTGAGATTCTTGCCTGAAAAATCCCATGGACAGAGGAGCCTGATGGGCTACAGTCTGTGGGGTTGCAAAGAGTCGGACGCGACTGAGTGAAAAGCACAGCAAAGGGTGGGAAAGTTGCTGGTTCTTGCCTTAGCCCGTGGGATTTGACTGTAGAAATAAACAGTTATAGTTAAATTGTTATATTTTAGCTTCTCAAAAAGGAACCACTTTCAGCCTTAAAGCAGACCCTGATCAGCAGAAGACCAGGTTAAGGGTTAACAGAGTTTTAAGCAAGACACGGTAGAACACTGGGTCCTGTTTGTTGTTTGCCACACGCAGGCCTGATTCAGGTCAAGGTGGAGCCCCCAGCAGCAGGAGTGCACGCTAACCTTTGTCCCAGGCAGTGCTTTAAAAGGACCCACCTGCTTTTCATGTTGGTTCTCAGAGGGTAGAGCATCCTTAGTGTGGCCACGGCATGGAGACAATCTGGGGCAGAAACAAAAAGCGTTCTGGATGGTATGTAAACAGACATGGGCTCTGATCCGGAGTTCAGAAGGCGAGAAATGACTCATCTTCACAGAAAAGGCCCACAGGTTGCCATCTGGAGCTCTAGGAAGACAGACTTTTGAACTCACCATAAGCCACAGCTGAGTGTGTTCAAAAGGCTAACTAAACACAGAACAACCAGGTAAGAAATACATGCCATAATATGAATGGCCTCAAAAATGCCCAGCCCAAAGCAGCTACCTCATTTTCGAAGCCCAATGCAACATGAAGATGTGAAGTCCCTTGTTTATAAATTATTAAGAATTTCAAAACGGTGACTGCAGAGGGTTAAAGCAAGCAGAGGGACTCCTCTCCGCGGAGAGCCTCGTGTGGCTGCACAGCCATCCGTAGCGTTGGCCCTGTGTCTCAGCAGAATTAATCCAAATGTGCAGGATGCGCCATCAAATCTCGTTGCTGCCTGAATCTTACCTAGTAGTCAGAGAAAGAACTTTGTCCTCTTGACAGAGCAGTGATATCAGAGGGGTAAGAGGATGGGCGGTGGGCCTCCCCAGAATCCATTCTGAACAAAGGTGTCTTTACTCTGTAGTGGAGACTGACTCCCTGTTCCTCTTCTTTCCTTTCCTTCAAAGAAGAACTTTCCTTTTTTTGGGGGGGGGGGGGGGCGGTGTTCCCATTTTTCATGATCTGCTAGTATCTGTGCCTGGTCTGGAGTTCCCCTGGTTCTGTGAAAAGGCTTCCTTTACACATGATTTCTTTCCCACCTTCCTCCTCCTTAGAAAACACACAGCTCTTTAAAAGACTCTGACTTTTTTTTTTTTTCCAAGTTCTGTGGCTTTTATTAAATATACACTGTAATACCAAACTGTGATTACATGATGTCTGGCTTTCCCTGAACTCAAATTTAATATCCTGAAAAATGGGAAGCTTTATTGCAAGGCTGAAGTATACCAGGAGTGGGGGACTTGAGGGCGAGTGCATGTGGGTCTGTTGATTGCTTTTATTCCCCCTTCTAAGATCTCTACCTGGTCATGGTTTGGTACTTGTTAACTTCCACTTTACCTTTTAGATTGACTTTTTTATCCTCTTGAATTATGTTCATTACACTGTGATTCTAGACATTATTTTAGAAGACAAATAATTTCTAATTCTCAGCCTTAATACCGTTTTCAGCCTTAATACTGTTTCCACATTCTGTTATTGTCCTGGATTATATTTTTGATTGGTGCATTCATAATGGAGTTATAGGTTTTTGTCTTGGTATAGTTGAATTTTAATCCCTTCTATACTCATAAAGGTGAAACACATTGATAAACTTAAAGGAGATGAATGACCAATAAACAAGAAGTGTTAGAATTGCCTGCAAATGGAAGCAATAATCATTTAGAGACCAAGAGTCTAATAAAATGGAGCTGAAGTGATCTTAGTGGTTACTGGTCCTATGCCTTTATTTTGCATAAAAGGAAAATGAGGCCCTGACATTAAATAACCTGCCACACAGCTCCTCGGGGGCAGTCAGGATTAAACAGGCTGTAAGTGCCTGTTTAAAAATACAAGCTGAGCAGTTCTGTTTCCACACTAGTGTCTTTTGGTGGGACATCAGATCTTTGAGTGTCTATCCTTCATTTGTGGTTTGAGGGCGTTGGGATAGATTTGAATCTAACTTGAAATGGACACAAGCTGACCCCAGCCTAGTCAACCCAGAACATACATAATGAAAAATATGGTAGCAATGAGAACATTCAGTGTTGAACACTGGCTCACCAGATCCTTAGGAAAGCTGAAGACTGGATCTCAAACTGGATTTGTGAGAGCACATTCACTGCCAGACTGATCTGTAGGCTAGTAGGCTTGTTTTAAAATGACTAACTCAGAGAAAAGTGAGAGG